GAAGAGCCACTTGAAAGCTCATGAGAACCGAAGAATTCTTGTTGCTGACGAAACCCATCTCAACAACAGGAAGCCTTCAATACTCGCAGCACATGGCAGACCTCAAAAAAATCAAATTTGGCCATGGGGAGCTGTCTTGCAAGAGCATGTTAATGCCCACTTCGTTTTCGCATCCTGGATCATCCAGACCAAGCCCATGCTGGAAAGCCTCGTGGTCACGGCGAGATGCTGAAGAACATCAACATGCTCGGATTGCGCAAGGGCGACACCTTCGTGTCAAATGGATGAAAAGCAATAGTATCCGCAGTGAAAGCTTACCGTCGCACGCACCGCGTTTCTCAAAATGATCTCCGTCATGAAGTCGTGAACCACAGTGAAGGGGAGCCTGATTAAGCGATGGATCCGCCATAAAATGTCTGGCAGATTGCCAGGACATCCAGACAGACAGATGTGGCGCCTTCTTATAGACGAGTACCAAACACGAAATCTTTTGAAGGCAAGGAACCCTCAGATCTTTAATCGTGGCAAGATCGTCGCTCTCCGTTTTTGTGATGTTGTCCCGTTGTTTCGTGCACAATGACGTTGTCAAGTCTCACGCGAGCCAAACAGCTGCTCATGATGCAGTGTTGGTTGTCATGCGAGCTTTGATGTCTGTGATGCGCCATGACCCGTGAAAGGCACTCGCGCTTTTTTCAGTGACAACGCAACGGTCTTAAGACATGTTCTAGAACTGAAAACACGGTAGTAAACACGACTTCCCGTATCGCACAGTACAAAAACGCAGCGGTAGACTTTCGGCTTGTAACCCGGAAGTCAATACCAATCCAATTTCCAGTCTAGGTGTTGCGGGTCAACGCCTTTTCAGTTGATTGAGTTTATATGAGTCGCTGCCTATCCAACTATGTTTTGTTGGCTATGAACCGATACCCATCCATATTAATATTCGTGTGGGTGTGGCTCGACAAGAAACAAACTCCACTAATGCCCATGCAAATACAGTTTTGCCGTCCAAATGTCCAAATACAGTACATTATGTTTTGGCTAACTATTGTGAAGTTTGTCGTTCGTCTGGGCCACTACCTATCCAAATCAACCTAGCTGGTGCTGAGGGTCAGAACCGATCCAAACTCCGTTTATGTCGGGATGAACTACCGTCCAAATTCATTTAGTTCTTGTGGGTCAATCCCCATCCGACTCACTTTACGGTCGGGGATGTCAGTATGTACTCAATAGTATTGTGCGTCGCTACCTAGTCAAGTTGTTGTGTTGCAGAATAATTGCCATCCCATTCATTTGTTGTTACATCTGCGAGTAGTATTATGGGTCAATAGCTATGAAAGGTACTTTGTCATTGGTAACGAGGAATACCAATCCCCATAAAACGCATTCCTATCATGGCTCAATTGTTATCGCACGTGCATTTGGCATGATGACATATCCATATATACGACCCTGAATGGCTTTACAAAAACATGTACAAATAACATGTATTTCACTGCAAAGCACGTGCTTGTGTTCCGTTACACAATCTACGTATACATGTACTTATGCATATAGGTATATACGTATATACCAATACACTTCAGTCTGCAACACAGAAAAAGCCCTACATGCTAGTGTTGTTCATCGTGGATTTGATTTGCATGCTTCACCACTCTCATTGCTAGCCTGGAATTTTGTGCTAGTCACTTCATTCAAGTCGCCAGCATAATGAACAGCCTATGTTGATTTCGCTACGCAGCACTACTGTGAAGGGTGTTGACGTTCAGTCCAGAGTAATGAAGTTCAATCCCGAGGGTTGAACTTCAATACCCCCGGATGCAAGATTCAAGATCCTGGGGAAACTTTGTCCTGGAATCTTGAATCTTGAATCTTGGATCCGGGAGTATTGAAGTTCAATCCTCGCAAGACATCGGGATTGCTCTCATTGCCCTACACACGTGCGCAGGCATGTTGTATTGTTTTCGTACTGCACACATACGAGGGTTCAGAGCAAACACATACACGCATACAGAGTAGTCGTTTAGGGGTCAGGGGCAGAACACGCAGGATTCACACCCAAACTAATAGATTTCCTGGGGGGTACTATGTATATATATATATATACACATGCTCACATATATACATGAATATATACATATATATATACATATATATATATATATATATATGTATGACATACATTGTATATACACGGGAGTTCCGGAGAATCCCGCAACCCAAATGCCGAACACAGTGTTGATCTTCGTTGCCGTGACTCTTTCGACTGAGGAAGTAGGGTTAGTAAGATGGATGATTGGGAGATAACTCGATGGGTTGGAGCCACCTAGACCAGGCGCAGGGCCAACCCTCCTGGAGGTGATGTTTGCTGTTGTCCCAAGTATTCCTCTGGAAGCATTTAACTTTGTACAACCGCTCAAGCCGAATTCACATCGTGCGACCTAACGCCTGGGCCTAGAACACTAAAGCCTGAACCTCTGAAGTGCCAACGAGCTAAACC